AACTTGCTTGGTTGCCGAGTTGAAATACCCGGACAGACGAACACATACACACACACACACACACACACACACACAAGGTCGACTCAATATGCGTTTTTGCAGTTTGCATATAGGCCAAAACGCATAATAAGCGAAAAAATAATAAAGTTAGGGAGCACAAGAATGCGAATTTGCAATTAAAACTGTGTCCCTCCCACCCTCTCTTCCTCACTGGTTCATTCTCTTACATTTCAAATTCAAAGTTAAGTTTATTCGGCTTTTATTCATTTACTACGGTGCATACATCCCACAGATTGTTTATCGAGAAGTGCGCAACAGGGCGAACTAGCGAAGTGTACATTGTTTGTATGCGGTATGTTCAGCATGACCTAATTTTTTCCGAGACTGCGGGGGGTAAGCTCCTCAATGCGTGACAGAAGTGAGGGAAGGAGGGCTATGGAAGATGCCAAATGACAAGCTGTTTTCTCGTAATTCGAGGGGCGATTGGTGCAGCTATTGACCCTTGCTGTGGGCTTTCCTTCCCTGACCTCATAGTGCAAATCGTTCTTATGCTCATCTCTTCCCACGACCCCAACTGCTCCTTTACTAATCGACGAAGTGGACATTGGCGAAGTAAATGAGTGGAGCGGCTCTCATGGAGCGAGAAGTTTCGCAGCAGAAGTCCCTCGATATGGCGGAATTGGGGGTGGAAGAGAATAAGGTCTTTCCAATCTTTTTTCTCTCCTTCCTTTCCCCTTCCCGGCTGACCGATGCTCGTCCTCCTTCAGCGCATAGAGATTCGACAGGTGACAGAAGTTTGGGCGGGATCTAATAAACACGAGCATAACTGCAGTGATCGTTGGGCGGAGGGAAAAAAATCGTGCCCTTATCGACAGAAATCCTGTGCGCATAGTTCACTGAAACGAGTGAAGCTTTGCCATCTCCACGGCGCTGAGTCCCAGTTTCGTCGTGCCATTTCCCCCATGTATACGCATTACCTATTCCTATGCCATCTTGCTTCTTATGCGTCTTGCGCAGCAACACTAGTGCGAGACTTATACTGTCAAAACCCTATCTGTGTGTGCTTGGATTTCTGACCACAAGTTCGCAACTCGGCAACCGGAAAACTAGGAATCGGGAACTTTAAAAACATATTTTCCTCC